GGGGGAGAGGGGGGGGTTGGGTGGGTTTAACAACCCCTAATTTATAACGCTCTCTCAAAGCAGTATAGAAACCCTTCAATGCAAGTACCCAGAACAAAGAGAATTGACAAGGAACCACTCAGAACTGTTACAGTATCAGGTTGTACCTGATATGTTTTATTTCACACAAACTTCTTTAGTAGCATATCAAATCTTAGAAAACTTAGATTTCTCTTTTAAGAGCACCATTTCCTGGAGGATTATCGTATCCTTTAGAACCAAGTGGCCTCAGGGCTTCTAGTTCTGTCTTCCACAGGCATTTACTCCTTCCCAGCTCTGTCCTTTCAGATGATGTTTGCAGGCCTCTTGCATTTCATGAAACCCCAGGCTAGTTACTGGTGTTTTCTTGTTGCCATCAGTGGAAAAGGGAGGCCTCGGAAGAGCATCTCCCTGTGTCTCACGTCCCTGCATAGATGGTGACTAAAGGATTAATGCAAATCCGAGCAGCCCTGCTCAGCTTTTGGGGTCATGGGGCAGCAGTGAAGCCAGGGCGGTGACAAAGCCAGGCAGTGGGCAGAGCCCCACGGTCAGAGAAAGGCTCAGTCATGCAGGCACTCCAAATCCAGGGCGCCACCAGACATTGAAATCAAGGCAGTAGGTGGCCGGCCTTTCTGGCACCAAGTTAAAAGCTAGGACAGTGGTTCTTGACCCTGGCTGCACACTGAAATCTCCTGGTGAGCTTTTAGAAAATATCACTGCCTGAGTTCCCCTCCCGGAGGTTCTGATTCACTTGGCCTGGAGCAGGGCCTGGGCATCAGGAGTCTCCAGTGACTCCAGCGTGCAGACAGGGATGAGAACCGCTGAGCAGGGGCGCCTGCAGGAAGTCCATTTGAATGCATTTTATTCCAGTTGAATCTGTTCCATTCCAGTTTGTTCAATTCCAGTCCTTTCCACTCACATTTTCTTGAGTGACTATTATGTGGCAGACATTGGAAAAATAAGGAGTAATTCTTGTGTTGCCTCAGAGGGACAAACTATTTATTAGGCTGTAACAAATGCCCCATGACACAGGGGGTAGTGGGCTGGAACACAGAGTGCCAGGGAAGGGGGAGTTTTCCCAGGGGTGGGGTGGTGGAGAGGAGAGAGGGAAGAGATGGGCAGGTAAGGAGGGCTGACAAGACTTTACCTCGTGCTGAGATTGCGTGTGTTGTCGGGGAGGGGACACAAGTGGCACTTTTCAACAAAGCATTTTACACTGGTATGTTTTGTCACTGTGATGACAGGGTGAGTGTTAGGCTTCAGAGAGCTGAGTGACGGGGGCCTGTGAGACTGAGGGAGGAGGTGGGGCAAGGTCCTTCCTTGTGCTGGCTCCAGGGGTGAGGGCCATGCCCAGCCCTCTTCTTCCTAGGCGCTAGTCCTGGCCACATCTTGCTTAAAAATTGGGTCCCAACAAGGCAAGTGGCTGCCAGGTAGAGTACAGGCCATTAGTCCATTTATCCATCTCTCACCAGTCCATTATTCCATCCACCCTCAGTGGAGGGAAACCAGCATGTAGGTCCCTCCGAACAAGACCTTCTAAAGCAAAACCTCCCCCAAGGGGCTCGATTTCACTTGTGTGTGTATTTGTATGTGAGTAGGCTTTCTCACCAAGGTGAGGTTCTCCCTAGAGTGTGTCACTTAGAACTACTGCTGACTGGCCTTTTACACTGCAGCTTGTGAATGCAAACCCTAGAATGCATGACTGATAACTGGCTTTGCAAGTGCTAGACCGAGGGGGCCTTAGACCTCCCACAGCAGGGGCATTTCAGGGAGAGTCAGGCCTCTCATCAGTGTTGAGTGCATCCTCCAGATGTGGAGCTCATCCCATGCACTGTGCTTTACCTTCTAACTTTATTTTGCCCATGGAATCTTCCACCGATGGTTACTGAGGTGTCGGCATTGAGGCTTTCTTCACACACAGCTCTAGGGGAGCGCTGCATATCCCCCCATGGCACCCTCTGCCTCCACTTCTTCAGTCTCCCAAAAGTATCGTAGTGAACAAACTCAAGTTTTAACTTCAAAGGAGAAGGAAGAAAGCCGTGCTTTCCTGCAGGTCATGCAGTACCGCTTTAAGACAGTTTTATTTGGGCAGTAAAATCTCTGAGTTATTCTTGGCAGAAGTTCTAATGAAATGGAAACCTTGAAATCTGCTTAGAGCAGTAAGTATGGTCTCACCCTGTGTTTTGGGGATTGAAGGTTGTGGGCGATCTTAGTAGTTGATCTGATTCATTTTCAAAGAGGCTTGGTATCAACGCATCCTTTCAGAAGGTGCAGGGGTCTGTAGCATTTGGCTTGAGTGAGCTTTGTCACTGAGACTGGAGGAATGGCTGTCCTGTGGTGGGGAGAGCAGTGCTGCTGACAGTGTGGTCCCCAAACCGACAGCATCAGTATCAGGTAGGGACTTGTTAGAAAGGCACATTCTCAGGTCCTACCCAAGACCTCCAGGTGATTTTGATGTGCGCTGGGGTTTGAGAACCATTGGTTTAGTAGTCATGGTTTTTAGAAAATGGTGGGAGAGAGAGAAGAAAGGCTGTTTGTGACAGCCTAAGACCGATCCACCCAGTCTACTGAATCTGTGCTAGCAGAGGCGGTCCCCGGCATCCACCTGGAGGAAGGACTGGACGGCCTGGCCCAGTGTGCAAGCATGAGTGCTCCCCCAGCCCTAGCCCAGTCGGGTTCTTTCTGGGAGGTTACCTTGTTTTGTTGACTCATCAGAAGAGAAACTAGCAGCAGGTATCCCGGGGAAGGAGGGCAAATTGTTTTACTATAATTAATAATTACATAATTATTATAATTATATAATTATAATTTATAATATAATTTATAATTTAATGTAGTTTTAATTATATATGTAATTAATATTCACTCTCAAAGTGACAAAAATCCTATTTCTTAAATTTTTCATTCAATTTACAAATCTACTTATAATCTATCAAAGTTTTGCAATCCCTTTTAAGAGGGCTGTGGTTAATATTTGGCCCCATTTACAAATTTGGTGGTTAATAACTTAAACCTTTAAAATGGCATTTAGAAATTTAACATCTAAGTTCATTTTCAAGGTCTTTGGTTGTCTGATTAAAAAATAAACTCTTTGCGAGTACTTAAGTGATTCTTATAAACCTAATAAGTTAGCCTTATAAACACGGGAAGTCTTAAGTTCTCTTATACATTCTAATACTGCTTATGAACTTAAGATTTTAAAATCACAAGTCTAAATCAAATGATGCGTTTTAAATTAGAATCACAAGTCTAATCCATTGGATACTTTGCTAAGTTCTCTTAAACACTGCAAGTTCTGAAAAAATCCCTTCTCACAAAATTATTGATAGTGCAGGTGTCAGTGACTCCGTCCTCTCTCTCTAATTCTTAAATATCCCCAGGGATAAGATACATTTTTCTCATTAAAACTATAATTGTCATTTATTCCCCAAACCTTTGGGGTTGCCTCCTCCGGTGGACTTTTGGGGGATGGTTTTAAAAATAATTTTTAAAATAAAGTTTCTTTTTATTAATAATAAAGTAATACATCTTTGAAAGCACATCTGGAAAATGAGTGCTGTTGCAAGTATCTCTGCACCCCCACCTTGTGCCCCCCTCCCCAACACAGCTGCTGGGTGGGGTGTTTCAAGTCACACAAAAGCTCAATCATGGGCTTGATAAATTGGGGCAACCTGCAGAGAAAAAGCCCAGACGTGGGAACCAGGCCATAGCCAGCTGGCCTTGCTGCCCCTGGGCTGTTGGGGTCGTGGATGTGTGTGAATGAGGTTGACCGACGTCCCATTTTCCTTTTTCTGGGCAGGTTGGCCTCATCCAGCTTGGGCAGGAGCAGGTGCTAATCCAGCCCGTCAATAATTCCCAGAGCTCGCTCAGTGGACAAGAACATCTGATCAGGCGCAAATGGTCCTTGACACCCAGTCCCTCCACCGACACCCAGGTTCCTGGGCGGCTCTGCAAAGTTCTGACAGGTGAGTCTGGAAAACAGCATGACTGACTCACAGCACGTACCTGGTCTGCACCGTGCTTGTCCCTGGGCCACCTTCACTGGTGTGTCCACAAATGCCCTGAAGTCATGTGAGCAAGAACTTAACCTTTCCCTGTATTTTGGAAGCTGTTTTTTTATTGACCCTAAGGCCTCTTCCTTTTCTTTTCTACATGTATTAGTGTCAGCATTTCATGGGTAGCAGCTCTTTGAAAAAGGCATTTCTGGAAGGAACCCAGGATCTCATTAATGCAATGCCTCAGTTTTATGGATCAGGAGCAAGCTGAGTTCCAAAAAACCTCAATGGCTTATTTGTTATCAAACCCCAGGCTGGTGGCACAGCTAGGATGGGAATTCCTTCCCCTGGCACCCTGGCCAGAGCTTGCTCTTCTAATATAGTGGTCCTCAGTCCAGGCTGCACTAATTAGACTTACCTGGGGGCACCTATGAAGCAGTGGTTCTTAGAGTGTGGCCCCTGGCCAGCAGCATCAGCATCACCTGGGAACCTGTTAGAACTGAGTGTTCTTGGCAGCCCTAGACCTCCACAATCGGAAGCTGTGGGGGTGGCTCCAGTGATCAGTAGCTGCATAGGCCGGCCAGGTGATTCCAGTGCAGCTAAAGTGTGAAAACCACTACTTCAACAAATGCCGTGCACTGGCCTGTCCTACAGTATCGTGATGTCATTGGTCTGGGCTGTGACTTGGGTTTCAGTGTTTTTCTTTTTTAAAGATTGGCACTTGAGCTAACCTCTGTTGCCAATCTTTTTTTTGCTCCTCCTCCCCAAGGCCCTCCAGTTCATAGTTGTATATTGTAGTTATGGTCCTTCTGGTTGTGCTATGTGGGATGCCGCCTCAGCATGGCCTGATGAGTGGTGCCATGTCCAGGATGCAAACTGACAAAACCCTGGGCCTCCAAAACAGAGCACGTGAACTTAACTACTCGGGCACAGAGCTGACCCCGCTTTCAGTGTTTTTGAAGGTGATTCTAATAAGCAGCTTGAGATAAGAACCAAGGCTTCTTATATTCTGTACCTCTACCATAGCCCCCCTTATCCTTGGGGGATACGTTCCAGGACTCCCAGTGGATGCCTAAAACCCAGATAGTACTGAACCGTATATACCATGTTTTTTCCTATACACACATACCTATGATAAAGTTTAACTCATAAGTTAGGCACAGTAAGATCAACAACAATAACTAATAATAGAACAATTATAACAATATACTGTGATAAAAGTTACCATAGATCTTAGCAACCTCAGCATATGATTTTTTTTCTTTCCTTATCAAGTTGAGAACATTCACCTTTTCATTTAAAGGAAGCACTTTATGGCTTCTCTTTGGCATATCCGAACTGCTAGCATCACTACTCTTGTGTTTTGGGGCCATTATTAAGTATAATAAGGGTTACTTGAACATAAGCACTGTGATCCCATGACAGTCGATCTTATAAGGGAGATGGCTATTAAGTGACTAACGGGAGGGTGGCATATACAGCGTGGACACGCCGGACGAAGGGATGATTCCTCCCGGGGGGGACGGACGGAGTGGGAGGGCTTGAGATTTCATCATACTGCTCAGAATGGCACGCAATTTCAAACTTATGAATTGTCTATTTCTGGAATTTCCATTTAATATTTTCGAATTGCAGTTGACCACAGGTAACTGAAACCGCAGAAAGTGAAACCGAGGATAAGGGGGACTATTGTATTTGAGCAACTGGTGCATTATCTGTTAGATGTTTAAGAGCATTTCATGGTGCTGTGTCACTAGCAGTCTTCCACTGTCCCCTGATAAGACTGATAACCTGCTGCTCACAGGTGGCATTTCCTCCCCGGAGAGCCTGGGACCCCATGGCTGACCTTTGAGAGTTGCATTTTTATAGTTTAAAGACTTATCTTTGTATGAAAATATAGTGTGTCTCAGTTTAGTATTCCAGTGACCTTAGAAATAAATCAATTATATGACTCTCCTTTAGAACAACTTTGTTGTTTAGAAGTGAGCCTTGCAGCTCGGCTCAGCTGTTGTGTGTAGTCCTGATCCTTTCTACGGAGGCACCCTCCTCAGCCGAGTCTGCATTCGGGAGGGAGTATCAGAGGTGATTTTGCTGGATTGAGGCCATCTCTGAAACCCCAGGAGAGCTCTGTGTGGTAAGTGGGGAGAGAATGCCACCATACACTGGAGTTTTTCTCTGTTCCTCCTGCACCCCTACAAAAGTGGGGAAGATAGTTTGGCATAAAATTATTAGTAAGTGAAAAATGCCCTTTAATAGGAAGCAGGAGTTTTGGTAAGTCCGACAGTTGGCTGTGTGTGTTTGGGCTTGATGTCAGTGTGTTATTTAAATGTTAGCCACCTGGCCTATCTAGGTCAGTCTTGGTGGGTCATCTTTTCTTTATCTACTTTCAGAGTAAATGACTGTTGGTCATTCTAAATCTTTGTGCCTTTTCTGCAGCTGATCCGAACATGTTGATCCAGAGATAGGGGCATTACTTTAAGGGAGTGGTTCTCAGCACTGGGTGATCATTGCAACACCTGGAGCTTTAACAACTACTCACTTACCGGGTCCGGGCCCCAGAGAGCCGCTCTAATTGGTCTCAGGCCAGCCTGGGCGTCTGGCGATTTAAAACCTCTCCAGGTGGCTCCAGTGTTCAGCTGGCACTGAAAACCACTGTGCTAAGGAGTATTAAACATGACTAATAGCACCTGTGGGCCATCGGAAGTGGGTTTTCTTAGGGGAGAACCACCAAGCAGGGCCACACAATGAAATCCAAGGGCAAATATGTTTTATTCTCACTTTTCCCTTCGTTCAAGCTGGCGCTCATGAACTGCTCGTCAGGGACCAGAAACCGAGGGTGCTTGTGAATGATATCATGGAATGTTTGTCTGATTACCAGCTGCCGTCCTCTTTAGAGACGTGATACCAAGGATTGCTGACAAAATGATAAATTGTGCTTGTGTTTGCATTTTTGTCCCTGAGACTAGTTTCGAGGCACCATTTTGATAGACTGTTTAGCCTATAATGAAGGAAATAATACTAACAAAACCAGGGTGGGGAGGATGCGATGGAAACTAAGTTAAAAGCAGCCATACAAGGCTGTAGAGAGAAATTTCTGAATTTTCTTAAAAAATAATCTCCCCTTCCTTGTCCCCAAACCTCACATCAACATGCTCTGCTGTGTGGGAGCAACGTGTGTGTTTACGCTGGTGCCAGCTCAGGCTCTGTCCTGGGTAGGAACACAGACACGGGAGAGTGGTGCATAGCTAGCTTCTCGTCCTTCCGGCTTTGCATGAAACGCTCAGGAAAACTGTATTGCTGTGTTGAGAAAGACAGTGAGCCTTTTAATAGGCTTAGCTAATAAGCAGTCAATTAGGACATACCTAGTTTGGATTAACTTCCAAATATTGGGAGTTTAGAAATTACCAAAATTAATTTACTGGGACACCAGCAAAATACATTCTTGAAGTTTCTTAGAAAGATTAATCAGATTAACCCAAGATTTTCCATGGGAACACATTCTATATAGCTGAACATGGTGGCTATTGGTGTCATTGTGCCTTGTTGATCTTGTGTTACCCCAACCTTGGACGTGGTCTGGGAGTAGGCAGGTGGCCCATGCAGGTGAGGAGGAACCCGATAATTCTTCCTCATCCATGAAACCCTCAATTTACCTGAAAATTGAGCTTAAGTAAGCCGCCATGATCTCTAGTGGGACAGAGGGACTAAGACAGTAAAGGCCCCTGGAAGGACCCACTGCCTTCTCTTGGGTCCTCCTGAAGTTGCATTCCTAGTAGTCTTCAGGGCTCCCAGAGAGGGGACAGGCTGAGCTTGTTTCCTTTATAGCTCCTTAGTTTTAGGACCTTGTAACTGATTCATGAAATATCACTCCAGGTTGGAACTTGGCATGAAAACATGAAGTCTGCGAGCCTTTTAAAAAATTGTTTTGGTGAGAGCATGAGTTTTTGAAGATTTTTGGCTATTCTCAACAACTAAAATGATACTTTGGGTATTTTGAAATGTTTTCCGATTTTTAAGTAGTTATTTTGATTTCAACACTTTTTTCTACGCTTGTTTTAATTTCCTCATTCAGATTCAGTTTAGAATCTTCCCACTAGGATTTTCATGCCCATTTGTAACAATTTGAATCTCTGTCTCCTCCTCTATCGTGGTAGATGTAACATGTGGATGGATTGTGAAATAATAAAACTAACGTGGCATGACACAGTGTCAAAATAGGAACCCCACAACATTTTGAGTTGGTGGTGAGCGTGTTAGAAGACAAATGCTGCCCAAGAATGGTGCCTACGAAGGCATTGATGTCTCTTTACAGTTTAAGTTCTGTTATGATTGTTTTAAAAAAATTATTAAAATTATTTTATTGTATTGTTTGGTTCATTTAAAGCATTATAAAGTTAATTTTAGTATTTAGAGGATACCATACCTATCGTGTATTGCCAGTTTATGCCAAAGTTTGCATATGTAATAATATGTGTATATACTCTGTAATAAATTGGTTGGGACTTATGATTTGTATCAGTTAAGATTCATTTGGTTGGAAGTGACAGAAATCAAACTGCCTTCAACACTAATGACACCACTGCCGTGGGCTCATGGAATTGAGGAGTAGAGTGGGGGGTTGGACCTCAGGTAAGGCTTGGCCAGGTGGGCTTCTCGGCAGTTCTTCCTCTATCTGACTGCTTTGTCCTCAGCTGGCTTCTCTCGTGGTGATGAAGGGTCAGCTAAGCTGAGGAGATTAACTCTTCTGTTTAGTCCTGGGTTGAGGTGGGTTGACTTGGATCGCAACTTGACTTACTTTCAGTTCACCACTGGTTTCAAGTGTCTTGAGGCAGGAGCAGAAGAGCTTAGGTCTCAGTCCCCACATGACTGTAGAGCTATCCCTCTGCTATCCATCCTTGTCCTGACTTCCTGCAAGCCACCACACACCTGGTAAAAGCCTGGTGGAGTAGATTTAGGACACACCTTATCCA